ATTTTTAAAATAAGAGTGTATGCTTTCCAAAAAAAAAATTCTCAAATTAAATTACTTAGGGAGGGGATTTATTTTCTAAAATTTACTTTGAACTGACTACTGGAGTTACACTATGAACTTCATGACTGCCAGTTATTTTCTGAGGGTGGGGGATGTCTATAAAATTTAATTGCAAGCTTGGCCTTGATCTCCCAACTTCATTTAGCAAGCAGTAATGGCATTTCTAAGCTGGAGGTATAAAGATGAAGATGATGCTCCCCTCAGCTAGCTCCAGTCAGGTGCTGTTCGGATGGAATTCCAACTTGGCCAAATGCTTTCTCTCAAGCCCTTCTGAAGTTCCATTTCCTTTATAGAATTTAAACTGCAAGTACCTTAACCATGTCTCTCAAATTCTAGTAAATAATACATGTGACATTCGAAGTCCATAAATTTACTTATTATGTAAAAACTCTGTGTATTTAGTGCTACCCAGAACTGTTCACATCCTTTGGTGCTTTTGGTATTACCTTAATAGACTACTAAATAGGAGATGGTTGGTTAACCTGATGTTAAAATAATTATGTATGAGCTTAGAACAGTGGTTCTCAGTCCTAGCTGCACTTAAAATTACCTGAGGAATCTTTACAGGCCACACCCCAGTCCAATTAAATTAGAATCCTTGGAGTTGGATTTGGCATCAGTGTTTTTGAAAGCTCCCCCAAGTAATTCCAAAGAGTAATTCCAAAGAGTACCAGTTGAGAAGAATTTACTTTACAGTTTACTAATACATTACATTCAGAATTTGTTATATGTTCCCCTCTAAGAAGTTTATTACTTTTAAAATATTGCCCAGAGAATTGATGGTTAGAGTTTTTATGAAAGAGATGCCTTTGATCACTCAGCCTTTTTACTTGTAGTCCTTTTTTCTTTCGAGTAAAGCAGGGTAGGGAATCCAAGATCCTTATGTCATACTATATAGGTTACATTCCTGTCCTGAAGTAAAGGAAGGATTACAGTGCCTGGCAGAATAAAGACAATCCTTTACTTAAAGCAATGTTTAAAGAAAATATAGAGAGAGAATTAAACTTTTTGTTTTCATTTCATTTTACTGTGTTAGTAATGAAATGTTATGAAAAAGTTTTTATTTATTAAATGGTACTGCTATACTATTCATTAAAAAATACATGCTTAAAATCAATTAGTTTATAATCAGCAACTATTATCATCAAGAGACTACAAAGTCATTAATGATTTTGGACTGAAAGAAATTGAAAACTAAAATTTTTAAGGGTAAAACTCAAAATGTTTTGTAATTAGGAAAGGAATCTTTTTTTTTAAAAAAAGAATTAGTAGGTTTTTTCTCCTTTTATGTTTATCTTTAGGCATTATTGTTAAGATCATAAAAGCCTTGAGGGCAAGAACCATGTCATATGTTGATTATACATCACACATACAGTAGAAGAAAATACGTACTATATTCTCATAAATATTTTTATTAATCTAAACTTCTTTAATTTATTCAGTTTAACTTATCATTTTCTGCAGTAAATGTATCCTTAAAAATGTTTTAGACAAAATATCTATTAAATATTGTACTATTTTGTTACCTTAATATATCTTACCTTCTGATTAACTATGGGGAAAATCCTTAAGCCACCACAATGATAAAATCATGGGAATTATTAAGCCTTCTACAGGTGCACATTTAAGGAATAATAATTTAAATTTATAATTTCAACTTAAATATATAACATTAGTAATATGCTTATGTCTCTCTCCATCCCTTTTTGTTTGTTTGTGTATTCTACATAGGATTAAGGTTACCCTCATTTGATTATTGACAGTCATCTAGAAAGCAGAGGTAAATTGTAGGATACAGCTGACAGGGGTAAGGAAGCACAGAATGTGTTTGGGTAATGGTGATAGAATTAATTTAAAGTATTAACTTTTTTGACAGCAGGTATTTACTGTAAAGGTAGTATAGTATAATAAGACTGATTCAAACAGATGCAAGATTGGATCTCAGCACTGACACCTTGGGCAAAATGTTAAACAGTTCTGATGCTCAACTTCCTTTTTGTTTGATTTTTTGTTTTTTTACCTTTCTGAACTAAAATAGTAAAAAACCTATTCACTATGTTTGTAAGTCAGTTTACATATTTTCTTTGTTTCTTCCTCAGACTCATACAAATAAATGACTTGTTGTAGATACTCATCTTTGCTCTATTACACTTACACACTAAAAAAAGTGTATTTAATGAGAGATACTTGTAGTGTCATGAGAATCACAAAGGAAATATTAAATAATTAAGCAAACAGGTCTTTTTGACCTGAAGATTGAAATGTTTTGTTTTTTTAAATAATTAACTTTCCAATTGTTGGTTCTCTGAAATACTATTGGAGAAAAACTTCCTTGAAACCTAACCTGTATCAGATAAACTCAATGACTATTTCTTAAATCACTATTTATAAACAGTTTTTAGCAATTTCTAGCCCATTTGTTTAATTCCAGTGTGTTTCTAAAAAACATAAGTTAAACATGATTTTGTGTACTGAAAAAAATAGGCCTGCAGGTTTATACTGTTTGGATATTGTTTTTCGTTTAGCTCTCCTATAACAGAGGCCATATCTTCTAGTTCTTAGCAGAGTGCCTTGCACAAAGACTCACCTAATAAATACTGATTTTTAATTTATAGGTCTGTTGATTGTTGTATTAATCTGTTTTTAGTTTTTAAATATAAAGACTTATACCAAAAAATAATAATATTTAGTATGCATAAAGGTGGTGCTAATGATCCTTTAGAAATGCACCTGGAAGATAAATCATCAGAGGACTGTATACTCTTCCCTAGGGTCTTTACATAATTCATTTCTTATCATTCCATCTTAGGTTAGTTGTTACCTGCTCAGAGAGGCTATTTTTCTTACCACTCACATCTGACAACCCTCAAATTCCTGCTCCCTCTTCCAGACCCAGCTTGCATATTCCTCCACCTTTGAAGCCATCTATTCTGCTCTCCGCTCTCCCTTTGGAATGAATTTTTCTGTCCTCTACCCTTGATTTCATTAATTCAAGCAGTTAATCATTTAGTAACTCACTCAAGAAACAATAGGACCACCTACGTTGGTCCTCTCTCCACCTTCTTTTTATCTTTGAATCCTTTATTGTCAAAGTATTTAATTACTTGTTTATCGTCTGTCTTCCCTATTAAAGTGTAAGCTTCCTAAGAGCAGAAACCTTGTCTGTTTTTTGGCTGCTGAAACCCAGGTGCTTAGAATAGTGCCTAGCACATACGTGGATGCTTAGTAAATATTATTTGTTGAAGGAGTGAATGCAGTGAACAGATAGATATACTTGCTTATTAAGGTGCTAAATGAAGAATTTTGCTCTACTGGTGGGTCATCCTTTATAGATAATGTTCACCTGGGTGTATTTCTTTTCTTTCCCTCCCTATTGGTTGCTTTATCTGGGAGATAATCTTAGCATTGGAGGTAGACTTCAAACGTAAAATTCTAATCTATACCTCCATAATAGGTCTATTACTTAGAATTTGGGGATCTGAAAAGAAGACTACAGTTCTCTCTTAAGAATGAGATTGTAGTTACCCAAATGACCTTGGATTCAGGGTTTTGATCTTTTGCCCGGTGCCTCTGCTATCCTCAGTTACAGTACTCTCAAGTTTATGGGCTTAGGCAAATAGCTTTGGAACTGCTTTTCTCAGTCCCACCCATTGGGTCAGGGGTTGGCTCAGGCCAGTCTCAGTAAGACCTAAGATTTGACAAAAACTATTAAAGCTGTTATTTCTAGCTCCTGAACAAGACCTTTGGTGGGGGTTGTAATCAGAAGTCTAAAAATAACATTCTAGAGAATCTTTCAACTGAAAGTGCTAAGTGATAATCAGTTGAAAGTATTAGACCAAAAACATGGGTGCTGGAAGAAACATAATAAAACTTAGAAAAGTGGAGCAGCAGAAAGTATTTTAAGAAATGAGAAGGGGCAGAAAAAGCAAGGTGAACATTATATTTTGTTAGTCAGAAATGAGTCATGACTAATGAGCATAAAATTAGTGCTAGTGATATACCTGTTTTATGATGGGGAAAAGCCACATATTCTAGAAAAAAAATTATGCGTGATAAGCTGCCTGAGTCATCACTTATAGTATTTAATTAAAAGTATCCAGAAGTCTCCATAAAATCTGCACTGAAATCTTTTTACTTCTTTGTTACTATATGGGCAATGATGCCTTTCCTGAAAAACCAACACAAGATAATATGCATTGAGTATATTTAACTACATTTTATTATCTTTAAAAGATGTCTCCGTAGTATGAATAGGATATATTCCAAAGTTAGTCTGTAAATCGATTGCTGGAACATATCCTGAAGAAACAAATGATAGTTTCCCAGAATATCTCATAAAAGCCTGCCTAGCTAAGTGTGATTAAAGTGCCAATAATACAATGCCACATTAAACACAAACAGCCCTTTTTAAATTCAAAATAGTAATTACCAGGCACTGAACAAAGTGACACATACTCTTAATTAATTCTCAAAGTACTGTAAGATATATATTGCCTCTCTTTTATGATAGAGGATACCTAAGAAGAAAATATTCAAAAGCTTGCTCAGGTCACACAGTTAGCATTGTGGTCAGGATATGAATTCAGATCCAACTGACTCAAAGCTCTTATTCCTTACCCCATGCTACCCTACCTCTATAAGTCAGAAATATTTGTATACTTTATATACCAGACAGTGTGCTAAATTTTTTACACAATTCACACCATACATTTAGCAGAACTAAGTATGTGTTAACTATAAGATAGGACCATAAGTACTACAAAAGAGGTATAGATAAGGGCAAAATTACCATAGGGGCAAAAAAAGCATTCATATGCAGTGGTTTACAAACAGTTGTATGTTTGGCATTGTTCGGATTTGAGTTTTGTTTTTAATTATTGATAAAGGTTCCTAAAATGTATTTGAGGTATCTTTAATTTTTTTTTAATAATCAATAACAGTTTACGGAAGAAAAGCTTGGCCAGGCAGAGAAGACAGAATTGGATGCTCACTTAGAGAACCTCCTTAGCAAAGCTGAATGTACCAAAATATGGACAGAAAAAATAATGAAACAAACTGAAGTGTTATTGCAGCCAAATCCAAGTAAGAAACTTTTTACCTTTTGTCTACCTTATTGAGTAATCATTATTGACTAATCCTATTAAAGGTTCCGTTAGTAGGTTTTTTAATATTAAAAAAAAAGTTTTAATTGCTGTTGAAAAACAGAATTTTTTGTTTGTGGCTTTGAGGCTTATGGTGGTTGTTTTTTGTGCCTTGGTGAAGAGGACAGTGATAAACATTTCTTTGTGTATCCCCTAACAGATTGACAAATAATGTTTTTCGGGCTTTTATAGAATCCTCTTGAAAACTCAGTTTCAGGCAGTAACTTTGAATTTTAAGAGTTATGAAGGGCTGTGGAAGTAAATTAATCTTCCTGTTTCATCCAGGGGAGAATTATCCCTAGATAATTAAGGGGAAAAGTTAATTTGTTACCAATGATTTATGTTTATGTTGTTTTATGTTTTTACATAAATTATTCCATTTGATTTTTGCACAACTCTTAAGGTTTTTCATATCACCTTGCAGATAAGGTGCACAATAATTGTTTATTAATTGAAATTCACAAGTTACCATTTTGTCCAATGTAGCATAACTAATTAGAAGGGGAACTTGAACTAGAACCAAGTGTATTGACACCCAGTCATTTCACTTGTGAGCTTTACTTATCAGAACTGAAGGACAAAGGCAACAATGCTTGCTTTCCCTCCCCTTTTCCCCCAGTGTTATTGTGACCATGTTGTGAGTGCCATAAACTTACTTTTAGATACTTAAAATTCCAACTTTGTTGCTATTACATAAAACTCAAGCACTATACAAACTATTAAATTCTGTGCCATTTTATTTAAATTGCAGTGACTTTTTAAACTAAGCCTTTTACACTAGTCTTTGGATACCATGTGGTATTTGTTATTCATTTAAGGCTACTTAAATTATATACCTTAGCACATTAAAAAAAAAAAAGTAGTAGATGTTTTTCCTCTCACTCCTTGCTCTATCCAGAGTTCCTCACATACATAGTCTGTTCTAAAACATGTTTTCCAGAATGGCAAATAAAGTCATGTACGACTGGTAAATGGGAATAGTGTTAGTACAAAGAAGTTACAATGGCTCATAAATACAATTTTATATTAGTGTTTTAAGCCAGAGTAGTAACAGAATTCTTTTTGAGTTTTTTTTGTGCTCTGGTTATAAAGTTACTTAGAATTTGAGTAGTCAAGCCCAACTCTTCCTGTAAGCCCTTTCATTTTTAGTGTATGATTTTACAGAACCTAGAGCTTTTCAGAAAAATATATTAAATTATAGCAGAGTTGCCTACATATTTTTTAAGACTTATTGAAATGAAACATTAATTTAAAATATATCAAATGTTTTATTAACTGAATGAAATCAACAAGGGATTTATACTTTTGACTAAATAGGTAGAAAGCAGCAAAGCTAAGAATTACTCTACAAGTCAAAAAATGAAATTCTGAAATTTAGGTAACATCATCTAAATGATTAGTTTTAAACTGACTCATGTTGGTTTTAACTAATTTTATGGTTTTTAAATCCCTTCTTAAGAACCCTTCTGATGCTTCCCCAGTGTCTAACACAAAAGCGAGTATTATTTCAACAGCCTATTTTGTGTTTTTATAATTAACACTTTTGCCAACTCCTGAAGTATTTCTTTATTGGTTCAACTCATTTTTGAAATTTCATTGCACTGTGTAAACTTCCACTTGTGGAGGAGTTATATGAGATGGTTAAAAGGAACATATTTAACTTCTTTTGGGATTATAATTTTAATCTATATTTAATCATTGTTTCTGGAAATTTGGGACTTTTTCTCATTTGTCTCTGAAACACCTCACTGTTAGGCAGCAGTGTAAATGTGAATTTCTTGAGTATTACAGTAAAATGTTTATTCATATTTTTTCTTTCCATTTATACTAGTGTTCTATAATTGCTTTTAACCTTTTGTCTTGTATTTTAATCTTATTTTTAATGGTGAAATCTTTTGAGTGAATACATGCTCAGAGGCATCTAGAAATTTATATACTTTAAATATAATTAAATAAAATTAAGCCAAGGCATCATATTGCTGACCTCTGTCTGTAGACTGTTCCAAGCCTGGATTACTCTATTCTTAATCTCCTATGCCTATATTTAGACTCTAGGAAGGAGAGAGAGCTAGCAAATGCCCAAAAGGGTGTCAGAAGTATGTGACTCTTAGGATTTTCTTATATCCATATTTTTATAATTGGAAATCCCTGCTTGTGAAATTAAAAACATATATCCAAAGTTAAAAGTTAGACATCATATGAATGGGGCAAATGAAACTTCACTAGATATAAAGTGAATACCAGCCCTTTTTTGAAACTTAAAATCCCATGAAATAGTTATATAATAGTTTTACTTTTTTTAACTTATTTTTGTTCCATAATATTTTCATATTTCTAAAATAGTTTCTTAGAGCTATATAATACTCTAACATATAAATTAAAAATTATATATTAAGATAAATACTTGAAAGTATGCTAATTTCATGTTAATTCTACAGGGTGATAAATGGCTAGTAGTGGAACAAGTCTATTAAATAGCTTTGCTATTTTGAAATCATTGGTAATTGATAATTTTCCTTATAGATGCCAGGATAGAAGAATTTGTTTATGAGAAACTGGATAGAAAAGCTCCAAGTCGTGTAAACAACCCAGAACTTTTGGGACAGTATATGATTGATGCAGGGACTGAGTTTGGCCCAGGAACAGCTTATGGTAAGTAAGCGAGAGGCAAAATGTCTGTTAAATATCTTTACTTTTAGATTTTTTACTACTTAGAGACATCATTTACTTTTACCTACTATTAGTGGAATCACTTTTAACTTCAAATTTTTTATGTTAAAATTTTGGATGAATTGAGAATTATTGGTTAGAAATAAGTATGCACAGTTCCATTTAATATTTAATATATTTAAGCATATATTGTTCTGAGATATCATGAGATTTTTTTTTACTGGTTATATTCTGTCCTTTTTTTAGTTCATTTTATTGTGGAAAGTGTTACAGATGTGCGCCACTTCCCACTTGTTCTCCTCCCCCCTCCCACCCTAGGCCTTTACCTGCCTTTTGTCGGTTTCCTTGGGCTTTGCTCATGTTATCTTTTTAGATTTAGAAAGTTAAATGAATTCTTTACTTGCACTCTCATTGAACCTTGCAAACACCTCTGTTGTGGTACTTATGATATATTGCAGTTTTTGTTTACACATGTCTCCTCTATTTTTTTTTTTAAGTTTCCTTGAGAGCTTATTTCTTTAAAAAAGTACCTGGCACATAGTAAGTGTTTGAACAAATCAGTAGTGCTTTCATTACACATAATGTCATTAATACAAAAATGTTAACAATGGTTATTTCTGGATGTTTGAATTGCATTTCATTTCTATTTTCACATAGTTTAATTTTTTATAGTCATGTTTTACACTTTCTCCAGCTTTATTAGTTGTTGTACTGACTTTTTTTTTCAATATGTTTTTGTTGATTTCAGAGAGAGGGAGGGAAAGGGGGACAGAGATAGAAAGGTCAATGATGAGAGAGTCATTGATGGATTGCCTCCTGCACACCCCAGACTGGGGATCAAGCTGACAACCTAGACATGTTCCCTGACTGGGAATCTAACTCTGACCTCCTGGTTTTGAGTCGATGCTCAGCCACGGAGCCACGCTGGCTGGGCTGTACTGACTTTTTTAATGTATAACTCTGAAACTCAAAGTTATACACCATTGTCCTTCAAATCTAATTTTCACAGAACATAGGGCTATTTGGGATTTCTATAGCTTTTTTCCAATTGTTCAAGTGTTTATTAAGATTTCTGCAGGAAATTGGTTCTTAAGTGGATATGAAATGATAGGTAAATTAAATGATTTTTTAATATAGTCCTGATTTATGAAATAGCTCATAAATTCTGGAACTGAATGAACTTAAACTTTAGTAATTCTCTTTATGTCAGAAGGAAATAACCTAAATACTGTGTAATGAGTGCCATTTAACGCATTTAGATGTACAGTGTTTACATTGTGTTTTTCAGAATATTATTTTTTTCAGAAGTTGGGAAATACTTTAAATTTTTATAGTTTTACTTCTAAAGTTTAGCTGTGAGTTTTAGAAAAACTTTATACATTAAACAGATTTTTTTATTGCCTGCTTGTGCCAGACATAGTTAGATGTTAAGAGTCATAAAGGTTTAAGGAGACTCAGCCCTTTCCTTTACCATATTGAAGGCCTAGTGGAGCATGATCATTTGAAAAGCTTCTAAATTTTTTTCCTTTTTAATCTGTTTGCATCTCTAATAATTCCATTGAATGTACCCTGATTATTGGAATTGGGCTTTGTGAATCTATTATTAATTGATAATAGCTAACAATTGAGTATTCCAGGCATTGGAATACTACTATAAGTATTATTTCAGTAAATCCTCACTTTATATCCTATTTATAATATAAATTCTGTTATCTCCATTTTAAAGAAAGGAAACTGAGTCTTAGAGAGGTTACATAATTCATTCATGATCACACAGCTAGTAAATCAAATGTACATCTGTATCTAGAAATTGAGCTCTTAACTATGTTATATTATTACCTTCCTTCCTTACCAGTCACATCTAATTTCATCCTAACATGAAGGAATTAAGATCCACAGAACTAAAGCTTATTAGAAATAGAACTGGGAGAAGAATCTTGGTCTTATGGTTCCCTTTTCTTTCACCCTGTTTTCAGTACTTTTCTTTCAAAACATAGATTTTTTTCTTTAACTTAAAATACAGATATATACTGTTACTTATAGATACTTGAGATAAGTGCATAAATATAGGAACAGAAGTCAAATTTTGACTTGACCAACTTATTAAAATATTTTAAGCATTATACTTTTATAAATGGGTCTACACGTGTGTTTTGAGCTGTGATGGTACATACTTTTCAATGTATGCATCCCCTTTTGTCCCATTGGTAGAATTAGTACAATTAACTACGATATGATTACAAGTTTATCTTTTGCCGTTTTTATTTAGATATTTATAATCTTATTACTTTTAAAATAAAACTGCCTTAACTACAGTTTATTCTATTTGATTTTTGCTTAGGTAAACAAGTGACAACAATGAAGCAGATCAAATTGCTGATTTATTTTAGCATGATTCTGTCCTCTGACATTATCAAACAATGGTTAAAAAAAATGTTTTTCCCTTTGCAGGTAATGCTCTTATTAAATGTGGAGAAACACAAAAACGTATTGGAACCGCAGACAGAGAGCTGATTCAAACATCAGCTTTAAACTTTCTCACTCCTTTAAGAAACTTTATTGAAGGAGATTACAAAACAATTGCTGTGAGTTGAAAAGCGTTTCATTTTTAGTAAAATATTTATATATTTACAGTTTTTAATGAATAATTTGCCATCTTCCTGACTGTGTAGATGTCACAGATTAGAAAATTTAAATAATCTACCTAGGTATATATCCAACAGAACACAAAACTAACCAAAATAAAGGACTGTTGATTATATGGACTCCATTTTTTTCCCTCTGTAGTATTGCTGAGCTACCCTTACATCCATTCTTATTACCAGCATTAAAATCTATAGAGAGTTTCCTGGAATGATTATAAAAATATGGCACAAAATATCACTAGTATAGCCATGGAACGATTCATGTAAACTGTGAGCCAGAAACCTAATTATTAGAAGCTATATTTCTGGCTATTAGACTTCCTATCTTTTTGCATCCCTAGAAGTCTGTTATTTCTTTTCACATAGCTGGGCACTTCTGACATTTTGAGCCGAATAATTCATTGTGGGAGCTGTACTGCATTGTGGGATATTGAGCAGCCTCCCTGGCTTCTACCCAGTGGATGCTAGTAATATTCCTTCCCCATTTGTGATAACCAAGAAGATACTACCAGATGTTCCGTGGGGGGGCAAAATCCCAAAATATTAAAACTAATATTCCTTTGTTTCTACCATCACCTGCCATCTTTCCCAGATACCCAGAATGTCTCAGTTGTTTTAAAATTGAAAAGAAAATGGAGTCACATACCCAAAATGGTCACTTTATAGCCAATTTTGTAATTATAGGGCTCAGTTTATCAGCAGATTCCTATATTTAATGGAAAATAATACTTTAAATACTAATGGAAAATAATAAATACTTTAAAAGTATGCTCTTACTGGATTTTAACATCATTAGCCTTTATATTTTTCTTTCCTAAACTTATAGAAAGAAAGGAAACTACTACAAAATAAGAGACTGGATTTGGATGCTGCAAAAACCAGACTAAAAAAGGCAAAAGCTGCAGAAGCTAGAGCTTCAGTAAGTAATGTTTTTTAATTTTTAAAAAAAAATTTTAGACTAATAACTTTCAGACTTGTAAAATATTTTACTCATATATCATGCAAGCTACAATTTGTGATTAAGACTAGAATATGACTTCAGAGTGTCTTTTTTTTATCAGAACTTAATACATCCAAATCAGTACAAAGTAGTCCTATCAATAGGCAATATTCTTATTTCAGTGACACCCCTGTTACTAAAAAAAAAAATAATTGCTCCTCAAGCTGTCATATTACTTAAATATCCTGCCACCAGTGATAGCAAATGGGTTTTTTATATTTGAAATATAAAAACAAATAGTAATTAAAATGAGAATGAATCACGTTTGAGAATGCTTGTATGTGGCTTAAAAGTAGAAGTGACTCCCTTTCCCATGTGACAAACTGACTAAAGGAGTTGTCGCCAAGAATAGTTCCAAAAACATTTAAACAGTGACCACATGGACTTACAGGTGACAAGTAGAAGAAACCTATTTGGATAAATAAGTTATTGTATATTTTTCATAAAAACCTCAGATAAAACTGAGTGGGTATATATTAAATATAGATGATATGCATATAAAACTTTCTCTAAAGGTTTAATTTATAAGCTTATTTAATCTAACATTTATACTATTTAAATCTTTATTCCAAAGTTTGAAGAGATTAATCAGATTTGAATTGGAACACCTTTAAGGTAGTACAATATAAACAAGTCTGAATTTATTAGAGGAAACTAATAAGTTAATTCTTTTTTTTTTTTTTTTGAAGACCTAACTAGCTTGATTAAGCCATTCATAAATCTCATGAGTTGGGCAGCATCCCATCTAGCAACTAGAAAGGTGCTCCCCAGTTAATTCTTAATTTGAGCTAAAAGATATGTTTTGTTAAGAGTCTGACATTCCCACTGCCTTCTGTTCCTAACTCACTACCACTGCCACCATCAAAAAGCATTGCCTTAAGAAGCATATTACCACATTGCTGGTAAAAGTCTGTTGTGGCTCTCTTGTTTTGAGAAAGAAAAGGTTGAGTCTTGGTTTTGAATGAAATTTAAAACTGGTAACTTGGTGTTGGACAGTGATCTTATGAGATTACCCCAGTACCGTTTATGAGCAAAATAAATTATTTTCTTCTAGACGGTTTCCTATTGGAAATTCTGTATTAATTACTGCAAGAAAAGAGCTATCTTTGACAGGACAGTAATTCCAAATTCACTATCAGTTTCACCTCAGAATTATCCTGACATCATCATCAAGAACAGCCTAACTTCCTTAAACAGGCATTTTGCATTTATTTTCATTTGCTTAGAGAATACAGAAAAATAGAAACCACTAGAAGTTTGGGTTTGCTTTATTTATTTTCTTCTTTGACACATTTCTTGGTTCCTAGTTTGCAGCTGAAGAGGTTACTCTAAACTCAGACTTTCTATGATTTCACTTATTTATAAGTTTCCATGGAGTGTTTTGTGACTAGTTTTGAATAAGAAAGCTGTGGGTAGGCAGAAGGGCTTTCATAGGTGAAAATTTAATAAAAATTATACGTAATGGTGGCAGTTTTTAAAATGATGCATTTTCCCTAAATGATTCTAATTTAAAATCAGGCATCAACCATGTTTTTTGTCTTTGAAAATTTGAATCTTTGGGAAAATTGAATAAGCACCACTATGAAATTCCATAGAACAAATATAGTTCTTTTTTTAAGTAGAAAATCATTTTATCAGCTGTTTTAATACCTGTTTGTGTGTTCTCTATTGTGCAGAAATAACTTGTTTCACTGTGTCCATTGGTATAATGTGTTCTTTGTCTCTTACCTATGTATATAAGCAACTAAACTCAGCTCGCCTTGAAGGAGATAACATTATGGTAAATTTCTCTTACATGCTCAACTTCCTGCATGTAAAATGGCTAAAGGTTTGTTGGCCTACTGTGTTTTCTACATCTTGAATAAGTGCCTTCTCTTGCTATTATCTGCATGTGAAGGTCTAAAATATTTAAAGCCATGCATTCCTTAGTTTAACAAAACATATAGGGAATACTAGCTGAAGTAATATTGGAACTAAAAAGAAAGTATGTGTCCTAATTGCCAAATATATTAGCTATACCAAATTCAGATACTGGAATCTGATTTTACACATAAATTTATTGTACCTTTTATATCCTATAAAAGATGTTAATGTAGCTGGCACTTTATATGCTCACTTTTGGCAAAGAAAATTAACAAAATTTACTTAGAGAAAGGCATAAGGTATACACAAATTTACTTTGTTTCTCGGTACCTTCATTGTTCCCTTAATTTTCACCCAAACTCAACATGGAATTAATTTCTTTCGCAATTCCAGGCCAAGACAAACCCCAGTAATTTAGGTACTCCTATAATGGCAAGGCCCATTCCCCCATGTGCTAATTCACTTAAGAAAGTTGCAGAATAGTGATAACCTTGGGCAACAATTGAGAATGAGAATTGTTATGTAATATCCAGTGTATATATTGAGCTTGATTTGAGGAAACTTTAGAGATGTTAGGAATTTTTATTTTTTAACAAAATAGAAATACTAAAAATCTGAACATTGCCCAAATCTTAAAAATGTTAACCAATAAAGATTTATGAGTGTTTGGTATATTATACTCCTAGATACATTACTTCCATAGAAGTGACATGGAAACTGTAGTACTGTTAATAATAAATTGGCAGTTAACTGCTTTTATTCCTAATATTAGCATTGAACTAAAAGCAGGGGGGAAATCTATGAAGCCCTGGCTAAATGAGGGCTTTTCTTAGATAGCAAGAGAATGCATTCATTCATTTCCATTGTCCTATCTGTAGGTGAATGAAAATATGAGACTATTTCCATCATTGGCAATATAGTATGTAAATCATAAGTTTTTCTTTTGTAAAAATATTCCAAACAATTAGCAAGACTGTTTCATTTATTCGGCATTTATTTTATTACTAATGTCACCTACTTATAATAAGATGTATTTAAGTCTGGTAATTTTAAATTCATTATATCTCTAGTTTATTGCAAACTCCCCCTCCCCCCCGTCCCAATGGCTGTATCAGTGTTCATTGTCCATTTCTCTTTGCTTTATTTTAATTTCCTAAAATTGTAGAATTTTAGGCCTAATAAAGAATTAAAAATCATTTGGTCCAAACTTCTCATCTTACATATGAGAAAACTAGAACTAAGAGGGGTTAAATATTCCTAGTTTTAGAAAACTGTTATTCAAAAGTTGATACTATTTATACATACGAAGGCATACTTTCATATGTATTAAGCTGTACTAGTTTAGTTACTACTGTATTTAATCTAATGTGATTCTGGAAAAAGGAGTATGTCATCTGAATGAAAGTATTTACATTTCTCTATACTAAGTTGTAGAAAAATGTTAAATTCCAACTTTCATGCTGTATATTTTTCTCTAATTTTTAATGCTGGCTAGATTTGGGCAGAGGAAGTGACAAAAGTAAGTAAATTATTAAACTACAGAATTATGAAACAAAAATTTTATTGTCATTCACTCAGAAAATATTGGGCAATAACTGTAGGGCCAGTCACAGTCTTTGTTACTGTATCTTATAAAATCTGAAAATGATTATGGAACCCTCAGGTCCACAGAGCAGTAGAACAGTGCTGCAGAGATATTGTTTGCACACTATTGATACTTGTTATATTAAATGGTAATCTTTGCAGTGCCTTTCCAGAAGACAGTTTAAATACTTGGTTTATTCATATGGCAGTAATGTAAAATAAAGTTAACACCGTGTTCTCTGTCTTCATGTCACACAAATGAATTTTCTAGGTAAACTGAAGCTTGTTCTCTCCATCACCAAAGCCAATTTTTCTGTCACTTTAGTTGAAAACATTTGTAAAAGAGTATTTCACTACTGCATTAAATACAGGATAGCATATATTTAATTTTACTTAAAGTTAGGGTCTTTATTATGAATATCCATTATTGTAACAGGTCTGTTGTTTGTCTTTGAAGTGTGTTGTCTTCTTCCTCAGTGTCAAACTGTCACTTTTAGAAGCTGTCCATATGACTGCTACTAGCCTGTTTTTACCATTTCTAATCTTTCTGGCCTTGGAAATCAAATAACTAAGCAAGAATTAATAAATAAAATTTTGACTGTAGTACAGATTTGTTTTGTTTCAAATGCTATTGGAAGTCTTCAGAAGCATTTTTCATTTACTTTTTATGTTCAGGCCTACCAAAATCTGACCTTCAGATGAGGACAATCTTGAGGATTGAGGGCAGGTAGTGGTGTGGCTCCTGACTATGGATAGTTTTACACACTTTAACTTTTAATTTTCTGACTTTATAGGATCGCTGACTATACAGTCTGTACCATGCATAAGTTATGGAGCTGTTGATTCTATAACTTGGAAATCCAATGTGAAATTTTTGACTTATGCTCTCATACCCCTTTGTGGAATCTATTCATCAATTTAGTTATAGTTTCACCCTGGCTTCTGATTTCTTTTTGAACCTCTAGCGTAAAAAGATAGAAGAGTAATATAGAAGAGAATGTAGGTTAAACAGGAAAACCAGGGTCTCTTCCACTTTGGTTAGCATGCAGGCATACCAAAAAAATTCTGATTCGATTCCGCAGTCTCTACAACTTTGGGGAATATTTGATATAATGGGAAGCAATTCATGAAAGAAATATTTATATTACTTATATGTAGATATGAGAGGAACTTAAGAAATATATCAAAATTGATTTTCTTCTGTAAATTTCACTTTTGTCATAATTTTAAAATGTTTAATTTTAAAAATTTATATTTCTGAACTATTACAAGATTTAAGCCCATAGGATAAAGTAAGTAACACTGGTCAAGTTTGTCACAGCAAATGAACGACCTAAATTTCTAGCTGATATCACAGACCAACAAATTCTTGCCCTTTTCCCAAGTTACATCTTAAAAGAACTCTACTTGCTTTCCTAATCCAAGTTATGCTATCATATACCTCTAGATCAATTAGCCCAGTAACAGTAATTCTAAGCAGTAGGTCTTTTCCCTAGCGCTCTACATCTTAATTGTAAAATTAAGTCAGGGAATGAGATCTTCTGGAAGACAGAATAAAAACCCTTTCAATTTATTGTCTTTCTTTAAACTCTTTTTACATGTAATATGGATCATTTTCTTCCCAAGTAAATTGATTACACTGAACCTAATTTCAGTTAACCTCAGCCTCCCAGATTATTATGATCAATTATATGTGTCAAAAATGATTTGGGAATTTCATTTTTTCGCAAGTACCCTAGTCATACACTGAAACTTGTTTTTAAAAAATGAGATGTTTCCTTCCTGTCATTTACCGATTCTAAATATAAAGTCTAGATTGTACAAAAGAATGACTTCCTAGGCTTTGTAACATGGTACCTTTCTTCACAATTAAATAATTAAATTTTGCTCAAACATGGAAGACTGATCCCTTGTCCTTAAGATCATTTTATATATATATATATGTATATATATGTATATATATATATATATATATTTCTTTTTTTAATTTTTATTCAGTGTTCTAGCTTTAAAACATTATTTCCACATCTTGACACTGAATCACCAAAACCAAACTCTTCAGTCCGTGAGCCATGAAGCCTTCGTAATACCTTCTTTGGAATCTGATGTCATCATTACCTTTGATCATGCTTGTTCGAGGCAATCATGGTAGCATCCCCCTTAATGGGAACAAGTTTGAATCTTCTTTTCATATTTTGACTCACTGGCAGGTTATTAAAATGATTTGAAAGAGGAAAAAAACATTATTTCCACTTCAGACTCAAGCGTCCAGGTCACTTTTAGTCTACTACTTAGCATACTTGCTTATAACTTATACAAAAATATTGACATTTAGTAGGCTTTTCTGCCATTTCTAATAAGGCTATTAAATCAAGTTGTACTTGCACAATCAAAGATCTACATGGAACTAGCCTCATTTACTTCTTTTTGGTTTGTTATGGTTACTTCTATTAATCAAAACATTTTGCATTCAAGCAAGCAGAACAGTAAATAGTGCAAATGTAACACTGAAGTGATCGATGTTTTCCTGAACATTTTCCTTAGGAAGAATATTGATTCTTTTCTTCTCCTGGAACTTTTTTTCACTTCGTACTAGCTTCCATATGAAGCTTACTTCAGCCCCATTATCATAGCACCGTGTATTCATTCTGGTTTTAGTCAAGTAAATTTAATTTTAACACTTGATTTACTGAGTAATTTAAGCTTATTTCTGTAATCCAGTCTAGTGGTCAGTTCTTAGTTCCCTCTGCCAGGCCTGTTGCCAATGAAATGAGAAAAACTATAGCAACTGATTTTCTATTTTGCTGCTACTTCCTTGTTGACTGGTTCACTAGGTTAACTATTGCCACCAGGGGTGAAAGAGAGGGAGATGGGGTGTGAAAGGAAAAAATTCCCACCTTGTTTTTATACTTACTATACTTTCATTGTCTTGGAAATACTATAATTATTTGGCTGGAGGCGAGAAGCCATTTATTCTGGAGAGGTAGAAAATATCATAATGACATTAGTAACAATGATGATTCCCAGTGAAAGAAAGCCAACCATTTTGGGTGACCTCCTCACTTACTACCAACCAACTCTTGCTAAAGGTTTGAGAAGATGGTTTTTGCCAGTATTTACTATTTTTACATCATGTTGACTTCTTAGTGAACTTTTTTCCGCAGCACTAAACCTCTATCAGTGGTTGAAGCTAGAGTGATGTACTGTAATTCACACACCTCTTTCCAGCTCCAAGTTCAGGGACTTCACCTTGGTAGCTTGAAATCACCTGTGGTAGGAGTATTTATACCATGAAAATCAGCACATTTGTGCTTTTTTATTTCCTAGAAAGCCAGTTTACTGCAGCACACCACTCATTGAAGGGTACCCATTAACTTGCAGAAAAATCGTAGCATATCTTATGGTTAATATTTCTGCTTAAAACATTTTTCATGTAAAGTTTAGGAAGAAAACTTAAAGACATTTATGGAGGAAAAAGAATCCTTTGATGGAACCTAAAAACTATGTTCCTAGAAGCAAGTATGTGTTTGGTAACTAAACACAAGAGGTTAAAATCCTATGGTTTCATTCTGAAGTAGTTCATTTGAGATTAAAGACTATCTTAAATTCAAAGAAAAGTAACTATAGTAGTAATTGAGAATTTTTAAAAATATTTTATACATTTTAAGATTTTATAAAATGGCAAAGTTGATATTTAGAAATATGTTGATTGTCCCACAGTAGTCTTTCTAGGCTTTTATGTGTATGCCATTAAGCTTTCACATTAATAGATTCTTTTGAGTCAGGTGCTGGTAAGGAATCAGTTCTATTTAGATTAATATAGAAAAACTAAGGTCATGAAACCAGGGACCAGTTTAGATACAAAGCAGAATCAGAGAATTGCCGGGTTGTCATTTTGGGGTTGTTTGGGGGATTTTTTAAACAGTCTACACAAATGTGTGTAAAATAGACTAAGTCCTCTTAATGAGATTCTAAAACTGTGTTCCAATTTAAGGCTGAACAGGAACTGAGAATAACTCAGAGTGAATTCGACCGTCAGGCAGAGATTACCAGACTTCTGCTGGAGGGAATCAGCAGCACACACGTGAGTGCTCATTTACTGGAGATTCATTTGGGACGAAAGACTTTGGTAGTCCTCAGGCAGTTTGGGGAAGAAAGCCTGAACTTCCTTTTTGGTCATTTATCAGGGAGGCACTTTTTAAGATATATGAAGAAATATTTTAAAGTTTTGTTTACATCTCATCACCTAGTTCTCCCACCATAATCAACTGTTTGAACCGTTTGTTGGTTTTTGTTGGCTAGACAGTTTGTTACTACACTGTTGACCTAGGTCAATCTTAATAAGCCTTGTAGTAAAATGCTAGATACTAGTGATTTTCCCTGAGTACAGTGTTGTGTTCTGTCTCCCCTTATGATTTACCACTTTAAGTAGATAATAGAGCTAAGAAGTGACTGTAACTTTCCTTTACAGGCCCATCACCTCCGCTGTCTGAATGACTTTGTAGAAGCCCAGATGACTTACTATGCACAATGTTACCAGTACATGTTAGACCTCCAGAAACAACTGGGAAGGTGGTAATTTCCTCTTCACACATGAAATTCCTGATAAGAGAAGAAATTCAGGTTTTTGCATATAAAGTAGTAGTAGTAGAAGTGAAGATTAGAAAAATTAAAGGCTTTTTTTTTTTTTTTTATTAGCTTGCTTAAAATCAAACAAATTTTTTAAGGAAAGTAAGTATCAGACTCCTGAGGTTACAAAAACACTCTTCTGGCACAGAAGAATGTTAACAGGGATGAGAAGATAGTTTAAGTGAATACCTTTATAGTGCTATATTTTAAAAGCTTTAAATATGTTTGAAGTTCACTTTTCTCTTAAAAATCTTTGCAGTTGATTGAGGAAGATAAAGTAAATCGACACAGCTGCCCCTAGAGATAAACAAACTTACATTTATTATTTACTTTTTCACTGTTTTTAAAAAAGGTTTTAGAATATTATGTAAGACTTCAAGCCCATTGGTGTTAGTGAGTGCAGTGATATACTTTAATGCAAAATAATGGAATGTAAAGCATATAAGATCAACCATTCAAGTATTTATTGAATACCTGCCAAATATTCATTCAGTATTTAAAGTTCACATATTATTGAACTGTTCTGTACTTTAGTATTATATAAGCAAATAGAACTCAAAATGGCTTACCCTTATGCAGCTCCTTATGTTGTAAGGTGACACTGGAAATAAAATGATGTACAGGACAAGCGTGGTCTCTGCTGTCACAACACAGGACATGGGTGGACAGGCCATGTGATAAGTAGCAAGGTAGAAGTGCAGGCTACTGTGAGGGACATCTAACTGTGACTCAGGTGGGTCTAGCAAAGTTACACAGATGAGATTATTTTAGTAGCAATAATCTAGAGCAGGGAGGGGGAACCTTTTTTCCCTCAAGGACCATTTGGATATTTATAACATCATTTGAGGGCCATACAGAATTACCAACTTAAAAATTAGCTATGAAAAAAGCTAGATTTATTGAATTTCGAGTCCCACTTGCAGGCCATACCAAATAATTTCACACGCATATACAGTCTGAGGGCCAGACGTTCCCCACCCCTGATTTAGAGAAACAGAGGTGCAAGAGTATGTATTCCAGGCAAGGAAGAATATGTATGTGTATAAAAGGGCCAGAGGAAAGAGAGTGTGACAAGTTCAGGGAACTAACAGTAGTTTATTCTGGTTGGAGCAAAATGTTCAAGTTAAGAATGGGGGATGTAGATGAGGCCAGAAGAGTGAAGCAGGGTCATGGTATGAATGCCCTTTAAAGTAAAAAGTGGTGTAAAGAGTTTAAGATTTATATAGTGAGGAACTATGGAAGCAGGGGAATGATGTGTAATATTTGAAGGAGGAATATCAAGAGAAGTTATTTCAAGAAATAAGGCAAAAATGCCCTCAACACTTCGATGTTCCTTTCTGCATATTAATCTTTCAAAACTAGACTTAGAACAAAATTAGGCACATTTACAAAACCAATTTTAAATCTTAAAAATGAGTCGTAGCCTAATGCCATTAGTTATTCTACTAGGAGTTACAGAAGGATTTACATTTCTATTATATTTGAAGTTTTGTTAGTGGTATTAATATCTGAAAGCAGAATAACACTGGTTTCCCCTCATCATTACAACTATTTTAAGCCCAAGAAGCTTTAGTACTTTCTATTCACTTTGTCCTAATACTCTGGAAGTGCAGCAGAGGGGTTGCTATTGTTACCATTCATTCTTGCTTTCTGCTTAAAACCACACAAGTGCTTGGAATTCAGCCATTCAAACCAAATCTAGTTATTGCTGCACTTTAGGATAAGCTCAGACATTACAAAGTAAAACTGGTGCTATTATTCTGAGAAAGAATGTCTAGCTTGTCTCTCTGCCCTCAAAGAATTATAGTACTGGTAATGACCAATGATAGAGTGGAAGAAATTTTTGGCCTTTAATTTGTTGCAGGTTATGCTTTTTAGAATATAGAAATATTCAAATGCAGAACGTGAAAGTCATCCAGGTACACAGTAACAAGTTCAAGAACTATTTCTGAAGAGTAAAACAAGGTGGTCATGTTAATGGCTAAAATAGCAGCGTTATTAGTAGTAGTAACTGAAGGACAGCAATCACCTAGGAAGGGCTTTAGCGTCTCCACACTCTTTCAAGCACCACATATGTGATAATGTTATAGTACTCACACCAGTGAGGTAGGTACTATTATAAGAAGCACTAGTCACAAGATTAGTAATACATTTTATTCTTAAATAATTGGGAGGTTTTAATATATCAAGTTACACCAGAAAGTCTATAGTTTTAATGTGTCATTAAAGTTCTTAGAAGTTGAAAATGGCCTTTCAGGTTTTTTGGTTGGTTAGTGTTTTGTTTTTTGTTGTATTTTTTCCATCAATTCCCCAAAATTGACATAGGTGAACCGTAGTGGCTAAACATACTAGTAAATTTGAAAGTAAAATTCCATGGTTAGAAACTTTAAAAACCCCATATGGGAGATTAAAGATGGTGGCGGACTGAGTGGAAGCTACACTGACACTCTCCAGGGACCAAACTAATTACAACTAAAATACAGAAAACCATCCTGAATAAAAACCTCATATGTGTGGAGAAAGCTTTATTTCTATCTTCAGAAATATGTATATTTAATCATTGCTGAGGACTGAATTCACTCAGGAAGAGATGCTAGGAAATGTTCTTAACGTTAGAGGGAAACCTAAATTAGAAATTCATTCTTTTTGTCATTAGAACACTTTTATCCATCAGAGAAACATTTGCTTTTAATTTTTTTAAATGCACTATTCTAAGCATAAAGGATACAGTGTAAGGATACCAAACAGATCAAATCCTTGCTTTCATAGAATCTACATTCTATTTGGAGGTACAAGGGAGTAGAAAAGCAGTGTATATGTGAATTACGTCATATATTAGAAGGTGATAAATGTTATAGAGAGAAAAACAGCAAGGTAGTACCTCGGTTAGTAGTAGAGGTTTGTAGTAGTCAGGGAAGACAGAGACTTAGAAGCTGTAAGAAAGCAAAGTATGCAGCATCTGAGAGAAGATGCTCCAAGAAGGGTACAGCAAGTACAAAAACCCTGAAGCAGGAGCATAGCTGTTATATTCAAGCAACAGCAAGGAGGACTTGGCTGGAGATGAATCAAGGAGATGGAGCTGGGACACCTAGGGCTTTAGAAGCCACTTTTGGGACTTAGGCCTTTATTCAGATATGAGGACCCTTTGGAGGGTTTTGATCTGAGGAGTGACATGATTAGATTTTAGCCTTTTATAAGATCATCTTTGTTGCTCTGTTGAGCATAGGTGTTAGAGGGCATGGGGTGGAAGCTGACAGACCTGCTTGGAACCTATTGGAATGACTTAGTCACTCAGGAGATGATGGTGGCTTGGGTCAGGGTGATTGTGGTAGATGTGGTGGAAGTGGTCAAACCCTGGGTGTATATTTTAAAAATAGAACCAGCAGGATTTGTTGACAGACTTCATGTGTATGAGGCTTAGAGGAGTCAAGAATTACTGCAAGAGGAATAATCTAGACAGTACATGTTGTCATTAAAATATTATTAACATCTATAAATCTTTATTCACAGTGGAGGTTGGTGGAAAGTAAACACTGCCATCAAGTGGTGGCATTCAGGAGCTTTTGGTCACTTGAAAATAAGTAATTAGCCATTTTCTTTTCAACAGTTTTCCATCCAATTATCATTGTAACAACAATCAGACTTCTGTGGCACCTGTACCATCTGCTTCATCAAATGCAACTGGTTCTTCTGCCTTGACTTCAACAAGTGGCCTAATAATGACCTCTCCTTCCAGCCTTATTGACCTTAAGGAGGGCAGTGGCAGCAGGAAGGCCAGGGTTCTGTATGATTATGATGCAGCAAACAGTAGTGAGTTATCACTTCTGGCAGATGAGGTGAGTAATGTGGGTATAAGAAGAAAACTGTATCAGAGATTCACATATCTTCTAGTATTGGAAATAGTTTACCATGAATGGTTTCATAGATTTCAGATGGTTATAATAATGTTTCATAGAATTTTAACTACTATTTAACAAAATAGAACATAATATCACCAATATTTAAAACTTGTAACAGCTAAATAGCTGGAAGATTTCTAAAACTGCCTCTAAAAAATAATCCTTTAACTTCTAGCAAAATTGACAATGTTTAAAGTCCTTTGATAGTGAATAATTAAATACAAATCTGATTAGTTTTCTGTGTGTTTATTTTTTAACCTAGTAACTGGAAATATTTTTATTTTGTAGGTGATCACTGTGTTCAGTGTCGTTGGAATGGATTCAGACTGGCTAATGGGGGAAAGGGGAAATCAGAAGGGCAGGGTGCCAATTACCTACTTAGAACTGCTCAATTAAATAGGTGGACTATGGAGAGATTATCCATCATGACACCGTATTTATATACAATTAACTAAATAAAGCAGGTTTAGTATCTTCCATGTTAATGTCTTAAAGAGACTGAAAAGAAAACACCAGCCATCAGAAACTGGCTTCCTGCCAATAAAATTGCATGGTAACTATTTCATTACAGAATTTATGTTAGAGCTTTCATGCCAAGAATGTTTTCTTATAAAATTATCTTTCTACTGAGGTTTCACTAATAAGCAGCTTCTACTTTTGAGCCCCAACTTAAAGCAGAAGAACTGTTTTCTACTGAATTTTTCATTAATGGCAAGCTTCTTTTCTGTAAAATAAATTTATTGTGAATTGATATCAGTGACTCGTTTATTAGGTATAGCCAAAGAATAAAATTAAAATTTGTTTTTAACTGTTGGTTTCAAAAGAGATCTAGGACATAAACCTCTTTTGTGAAGAATATGTTTCTGAATGCTTCCATGAACAGAAATGCAGTTATACCATGTTTACCTTGTTTTCCAACAGAAATTGAATGATTTCAATACTGTGTTTCGATGGGTTATTTTGTGTTGTGGTTTTTTTTAATATTTTATTAAACACTACTGAATGATTTCTATTAAATTTAAGAACAACTAGTCTTTGAAAAGCACTACCATATTTCTCTGGTATATTTGCAGTAAAGGTTCCAAAACATCTGAGGCAAGTTCAGTTCACTAAGCAATGTTTAAGTTTGTTCAACTGGCACAGTGCATGATTAGAATTGGACTCATTAAGAATATACTGCAGTACAGTAAAGAGAATTTGTTCTTATTGAACAACAAATCTTTATAAAAATACAGACTAGTGCAACTATATTCATCATAGAGCAAAGTGTATACAAATAATCCACTTTTGGTTACTCTGAACCTACTAATAAAATTTTAAAAATTTATTAATGAACTTGGGTTATCTTGATCAGGATCTGTAGTTAAGAAACACACACTAATGAAATTATTAGTGACACACTTTGAGTCAGGAAATTGTTATTTGGACCATTGCTGTGAATCCACAGATTGTTTCCATGTTGGAACTTCTGTCATTCTTAGTCTATCATTCAGTAAGCATTTGTTGAGGTCCAGGTAGTATGTTACCAACCGAACAAGATGCAGAATCAGTGTCAATGTCATGATAGAAGGTATAGGGTACTGTGTTTTGGAGCTTTGGGAGTCACCTGATTCAGATTTGGTGAGTGGAAGATGGTTTGAAGAGGAAGTGCTTCAGAGGGGAAAAGATGTGCCAGGCCTAGAGCCAAAAGAGTGTAGCACATTCTGACAGCTGAAAGTAGTTCAGGCACTTACACATGAAGCGCAAAGGTGTAGCTCATTTCTTGAGGGAATGTTAATGTATCAAAATGATATTTTTTGGTACTTTAAAAAATTATAAATACTTAAAAGGATATGTCAAAATGGTATTTAAGAGTTCCTAATAACTTGGTAAACATGTTGATAATTTAGCTCACAGTATAAACTTAACCAGTAGTTGTTACCTTTGTATTTCGGTGCTGTGAGACAAATTCCTCTGAAATTTTATAGTTGTACAAGACACTTTGATTCACACTGTGAATTGCCATACTCTTAACCCAAAAGCTGCTCAGGCTGGTTAGTTAGCTATAGAACCAAGTGAGCAAAGCTTTCTTTTTCCCCCAGGAAGGAAGTTCTACCGACAGCCTAGAGTACTATGTATTATGTTATGTAAAGTCAAGATTTAGGCTTTAAAGATCATACCAAAAAAATCAGATCAACTTAAGCAGCAACTATAAATTAGGTTTATAGGAAGTAGAGTAGTAAAGGGGAAAGAGTATGGACACTGGAATGGAATGGTCCTGGATTCAAATCCAGTCTTCCTCATATACTATGTTCTTGAACTTCGACTCAGATGATGCATAAACTGCTGTTTCCTTAGTAAAATGGGAATATTATGCCACCTTGAGGTTGTTACTATCTTATATGTTAGGCAGCTTTTAAGGAAAGTTTTGTCATGTAGTAGAAAATTTCCTAAATATCAGTTTCCCCTTACTAGCCCTTGTAGCTTCCTGACCTACCAAGACTGTAGGCCTCATTTATGACTGTACCAGAGATACCTCTTTTATATATGTGATCTGATATGTTGTTCTCCTATCCTATCCTCCACCCTCTTTAGATCAGACTCAGATCTAGGTTTAACCTCACCACAGTCAGTGTAAATTTTTATCAACCTTCTGCCTTCCACTAAGTATCAACTATAGAAACCCAGTAATGTACATTAGCCTTCAATAATGCTAAGGTTCAAAGGCTTCTTGTGCCTTTGTTTACCACAAATCTACCACAACATGTGGATTTGTTCTTTTTATTGCTTTTTTAATGGGTTTTGTGTGATTGGTTGGTTGGGGGGTTTTTTGTTTTAAAGTCATAGATTTAATTTTTACTCAGGTAAAGGCCCATAAAGTTTCTCAGGCACGGAAGAAAAGCTTGGGAAGCCTTTTAATTCACAGTGCAATTCAGAACTATTTAAATAAACACTGTGCCCCGGAGTTTAGGTATAGTAATATGTGAAGGATATACATGAATAAAATAAACTTGGCAATAATTGTAGGCTCTTTTACAAACAGAAAAATAAGTGGTTGGATTGTATCTACATATGTCCTTGAAGTAATCTGACCTAAAAGGCCATGGTGTTAAATCGTTTTTTATGGTGCTAATTAGAAGAATTCATATTGTAGGAGATTAGGCCCCAGAAATAGGACTCTGCCTCATTCCAGGTAACTTGAGAAATAAGAAACCTGAATCCGGTAGATGAGAGTCCATCCTCATAGTCTGCCGTTACCCTCCAGCCAACAAGCCAATGTGAATGTAGGAGCTAATATTGGGAGACATTTCTGAGATAAACTGCGGGGAAGGTGATGGAGTGCCGGACAAGAAGCAACAGCTTTGTGCACTTAGGCTCAGCTTTGTTGACGGGATTCCTCAGAAATCCCTGCTGTACCTCCCAAATGCCTGAAATCTTGAAATATGTTGCCCTAGTATGTAGCACTTCAAGCCTGGGTGAGGAGCCATAATAGATAGATTGCTTTGCAGTTTGACTACAGCCAGCTTTGTCTCAACCCCTTCTCCACCCCTAGAGACTCAAAAAGGGAGGAGGGATTTTCAAGAGTGCACCAGCCCTTTTCCCACATAGTCCTAATTAGAAAATCTACTCTGGGCAGTGGTTCCCAGTGTGAGATCCCAAGACGGGCAATTGCAGCACCACCTAGGAACTTGTTCAAAATGCTAATTTGTACTTCCAAGTATTTTCTACCTTAATTTGTACTGATTTTTTTTGTAAGGGGATATAGAACTAGTCTTAGTTCGTGTAACATTTTTAAGGTATCTTTTAAGATAAAAATTGTCTTTGTTCTAGCATTAATCAAAATTATAGTTATATAGTTACTTTTATAATTTATTTGTTTAGTATATATTGATCACTTAAGAATGTAGGCTTTTTGAGATACAGGCTATAATTCTTTTTATCACAGTTATTAGCACAAGGCCTAGCACATAGTGTGTACTCAATAAATATTTGTTGAATGAAAAAAAAATGCTGTTCCTAAGCCTTATCCAAGATCTACTGAATCAAACTCTAGGGGTAGTACCTAGCAACCTGTTTTTACAAACCATAGGTAAAGGTAGAGAACCACTTCAGTAGAACAAAGAAAAGTTGCCTCTCACCTTCAGGGCTATTATTGGACATCACTTGAGGAATTCCTGCCTTCTGCACCTGCACCAAAAACTGCTGCCTTAAGTGTAGAAGAACCTTGCTGGGCTGTCTTACGAGTGAGTGTGAAGGTAGAGGGCACGCTCAGCTAAGGAAAGGAAACACTGCTTGGAATGCTGTGGGGGTTACTAGGATAGTCTGAAGAAGGGTAAGCACTACTACCACCCACATGTCCACTCGACACACTGACAGTTTGGCATCAAAACACCCTGACAAACCATTACGGTGGTATCAGACTAGCATGTGCCTCCCTGTGACTCGGGTTGCTAAGCTCTGCTCTCATTCCCACTTCAAAGGAGGCTTGTTTAAGAATTGTTAATGCTTTCTTAATAATACAAGTCAGATGTGTTGGTAAAAAGGAAAATACATGAAAATATAGCTTAAAAGATAAAAATCACCTATAATACCACCATCCAGGGAGAACAGTTATTTAGGTGCATAGCCTTCCAGACCTTTCCGTGCTTTTATAGATTTTTTTAAATGGGATCAACTTGTACAAACTGTTTTGTACCTTTTTCACTTAACACCATGACCATCCTGCTGTGTCAAATGTATTACTGCATCTTTTTAATGGCTGCATGGTATTCCATCGTATGTGCCACATTTTATTAAACTGTCGATCTCTAGGTTGTTTCTAATTTTTCACTAATAAACTGCTTTAAAGAACATTGTGTTACTAATCTTTTATGTGTTCTTAATATTTCCTTTAGATGAGTACTAGGAAATGGAATTGCTAGTGGGAAGAGTATGCCAGTTTTTAAAAGCTTTTGTTACTGCCACTTCGACCCCTAGAAAACTTAATCAATTTACACTTTTTTATCAGCAGTGTATGAAATTGTTTCATTTGGGAGGGCTTCCAGCTGAATGTTCTTATAGCCTTCTGTTTAAACAGTAAGAGGAAGATAAAAAGACCCTGCAAAATTAAAACCAAGGTCAATCTTAAGTTATCCTGACATTCCATCGTTTACTGGTGTGCCTTCTAGTCTGTATTTTGTCATACTTTGGGAATGTTTGGAGTATTAGCTTGCCTCTTGCTTTTATTCAGCCTCTTGGAAGCACACTATCACCTTTCCGACTCTGGCTGAAATGGTAGGAGCACAATCTTAAGTAGATTGGAATCTTTTAATTTGGGTGCAGGCTTACCATTGGTTTTGGGGAGCATAGTTCCCCAAAACTTTGGAGGGTAGGCAGAACACTGGCTCTCCCACTTGGTTGCCTGGCTTTGTGTCAGTCAACCTCCTTGAGCCTGTTTGCTAATCTCTGGAAAGAATATTATAAGCCTACCTCGTGGGGTTGAAAGGATTAGCGCCTGGCACCTAGTAGATGCTAACTTACTAGGGTTTCCAGCTGCGTATGTTAGAGCAGTTGCCATCGTCAGCCTCTGGAGTAAATGCCACTGCCGAATACAGCCTGCCTTGGAAGCTGTCACAGTAAGTGGGCTTTGCCTCGGACACCCTGTACCCACAAAATCTAGTTCTTAAAGATTTTGTCTCACTTTTCCACACTCCGGTAACCTAACCAGATAAAACGCCCCAACAAGGTGTCTAATGGAAGATTTCAACTACTATGCTCCTGTGGTAGTGTATCAAAGGGGTAAGCATTCTCGAATGGTGAGCTGGGCGGGTCAGCCATGCCCAACTCGCCCTTCTAATTGAAAC